CAATTTTGATTGTTTGATTGGTGCGTATGGGAGGGCTGGAATGCCCTCCAGGTGTTTTCTGTGCGTGCAGTTCGTTCAGCAGTGGAGCTGTTGACTTCGCGAATTTTGTGCGTATGGGAGGGCTGGAATGCCCTCCAGGTGTTTTTTGTGTGTGCGGTTCGTTCACCAGAGGAGGTGTTGACTGGGCGAAATTTGGTTGACGAGGGAACAGGTTACCTCGGTTTCCACCCAGCCGTGACACTGTTGAACTCTTTGTGGGGGGAATGTGTCCGCGCGCTAGAATTGACAGAGTGGACTTGAAACAGGGCGCATTTGTTTTTAGGTACCGTACACTGATCAGTTTTGAACCACGGATCGTGAGGGGGTACTAAATTTCCCGAAATGAACGAGCTGGATACCCCCTGAGCATTCATGCTACCGTAAACTTGCAATCACTATTGCCCGACAATGTCACCGTTTGATAAAAAGCACTCAATGAGATACAAGCCGAAAACTAACTGCTAGGGTAAGTTTTACAGATCAGGCAGCTATTGACTGCTTAATAAATATTGCCCCATTTTCCTGCCATGGGCTTTATCGCCTGTAATATGACATGAGTGCGTAGTACCTGTGGAAGCAAAACGTGGGGAGGGTAGTTGACAGAACATTAAAGGGCAAGACACCATGAGTGCCATAGTGAAGGTGTTGAATGGGTGCAAGAGGGTTGTGATGAAGGTATGAGAGAATGGAGGAGCAAGAGGTCGGATGGAGGGAGGGGGGATGGGGGATGGTAGGAGAGGGACAGAGAGAGAAAGCACGTACCAGAATCCGCCAATGTAGGTAAAGGCGGCAAGGAAGGCCATAGCAACAGATCCCTTGATCAGCCCGCAGTCATTGTTACCGGGACTGCAGCAGGTCAGGAACGGATGGGGAGGGAAGAGAAGGGGAAAAGGAGGGTGGTGGTTGAGTGGACTCAAAGGGAGAGGAGTCAAGGAAGGCCATGGTGACGAATCTTTTGATCAGCCCGCAGTCATTGTTACCAGAACTGCAGCAGGTCAAGAACGAATGGGGAGGGATTAGTATAGGTACACAGAATACACGCTAATTTCGGTCTGGTTAGCGGTTGGATGTACATACATAGAAGTGTTTTCCGCTAAAGAATTGCTTGCTGGTAACGAAAAGGTGTGAAGAACACTCTGCAATAAAAGAAAAGTGGATAATAGACCTTGTTTGCGACAGCGGAACACGGGACATGTAGTAGTTGTCTCCCCACGACGCAGCTCGACGCCTGCGTGCCCGCCGTGCTCTTGAGGCACCTCAAAAGTCGAAAGATACCCGACAACCACTCAAAAGATACCCGACAACCACTCAAAAGATACCCGACAACCACTCAAAAGATACCCGACAACCACTCAAAAGATACCCGACAACCACTCAAAAGATACCCGACTACCACTCAAAAGATACCCGACAACCACTCAAAAGATACCCGACAACCACTCTCGGCGACATGGAAACACGTACATGTTGTAGCCTAAGTAGGTGCCTCCTGGCGTGTTGACGCAGCCCGACGCCTGCGCGCCCGCCGTGCACGCCGCCGCGAAGAGGAGCAGCGAGAGCAGCTGTGAGGGAGCAACGAGGACGGGGGGGGGAAGCCGACAGATTGGTGGGTGGAAGGTAGGAAGGAGGGAGGGGGGGTGGCATGGAAGACGAGTGAGCGAAAAGGAATCTCGGACGGGTGAGTTGACTTTTGAGTCGACTCAAAAGTCAACTCGGAATCTCGGACGGGTGAGCAAAGACGGACGGGGTGAACAGCGAGGCGGGCAAACGCGCAGGTGACTCACCCAGCACTCGGCGACTTGGAAGAGGCGCAGCTTGCCCTGGAAAGGGCGGAGCGCGGAGACGAAGAGCGACGCGACGAGAAGCACGAGGAGGAAGAAGCCGAGAATGAAGCCGATGATGGTCATGGCGAGGAGAAACGCGCCCGCGCTTAGCTTGGTGTAGTCGTACTTTGTTGACACGAGCAGGCTGAGAGGAAAACGGGGAAGGGAAGCGGGGAAAGAAGCAGCGTGGAAGGGGGGAGAGTGGGCGAGGGTGAGCTGGAGGAAAGGCGAGGGGTCAGGACGAGCACAAACGCGCCCGCACTGATTATTGGTGTAGCTGGACTTGGCTGATAGAGTCATGTTAGTTCCGTAGCGTCGTTAAAGTCGGACTGCGTCGTCGAGATTGACTCACGAGAAGGAGATCATGCAAAGGAAAGCTCGGCGACTCGAGCAATAATAAAGTTCTGAGACGTCTCAAAAGAACTTAATTATCTCGTGGCAAGCGACTTACGAGAAGGAGATCATGCAGAGGAGCAGCTCGGCGATGCGCAGCCCGATGCCGATGAACGTTGACATCCTCGACGACCCACCCGAGCCGCCGCCAGTCGCGGCGGGCGGCTTTCCCGCGCCGCCGCCCGCCTCAACGTCCGCGTAGCCCGCGGGTGGAGGAGGGTTTGCGCCCATCGGTGGGTAGGCTGGCGGCGGCGCGTAATCTGTCGGCGGCGGACCGCCGGCGTACGGCGGGTTGCTTTCAGGAGGAGGGTACTCGGCGGCCATGGCGCTGGCGGCTAGCAGTGGGAGGAGAGATGAAGTTGTGCGGCGTCAAAGCGAGATGAACTGGAGCGGCGCTGGGTCGGTTGACTGAATCACCTTTGCAAGTGAAATGTTTCACTTTCTTGACTTGGTAGCTGCGCTGTAATCGTGGCGAGAGCAGAGGCGCTTTTTTATGCTTGTCAGGGAAAGGGGGGCCCTGGTGTGGTGCGAGTGTGGTGTTTGAATTCGGTGTGGTGTGGTGAGATGGTTTAGATCTGGTTCAAACAGTGGCGGTTAGGTTTGTTAGTGCTAGCGAGGACGTTGGCGCCTAGACAGGGAGGCGGCCGAGAAAGGGTGGGCGAGGTAAGTGCTGAAATTGGCGAAAATTGCGGCAAAGGTTTGGCTGGCAAGGCGATGGAAAGGGGGCAAATTGCGTGTGCTGAGGGAATTGAGTGTGCTTCAGCCAACATCAACCCGAGCCGCTTCTATGGCCCAGATACGTGCGCTTTGTGTGGAGGCTCGGCGGTGTGCGAGGTCTTTGGCTGGCGGACGTGGCTCGACGTTGCGGCGAGCTGTAATCTGGCCCGTGAGTGGCTGGTGGGGACGGAGCGCGAGGTTCGTTCCGCAGCTGTCTGCTTCGCCGACAGCAACCTCCAGTTACTTACTTCACCGGAGGCTCGGACAAGGTTGGCCAATGGAGACGCAAACCGGATTGCGCGGAAACAAACAGTGAATCGAGAAGAATCCAGGTTTCTTCTAACTAGTCAACAGGTCGTTTTCCCTTGACGCTGCAAACACCGATGTGATCGGACGGACAAGTTACTGGACGATAGAAATCCGACGGTTGGAACCTTTTGTGCACAACATCCGCGTTTTACAGAATTGGAAAATTCACATACAACAGCCTGACACCATCACGTCAGTTGGGGGCGCTAACAAATATACGCGTGTTAGAGAAGTCATGGAGCAAGGGATTGAAACCATCTTTGGTGTAGGTATTTGCAGCAATAGCAGACAGAAACTCTGCAGACGGGATCTGAGGCAGGTACAAGAGCAGCAGAGGAAAGACTGATGGATACCAGTAGTGGATAATTATGGGCCAAGCAGAGTTAGCATGAAGGAACGTCTGCAATATATAACTCATATGCAGAATTACTTGGGTATAAAATCAACACGATAACGAGATGTGGCCAGAGAGTCATCCGAGTGAGAATGAGTCTAGGAGGGCGAAGGGACCATCAGAGTGGAGAGATTTTTCTATTCCATTGATGTGACAAGCTACCGTATTGTTTGGTTGGTATGCTACAAGCAACATAGGAGCAAAGCTCTTACCGAGCCGCGAATCCGCTCCACTCTGGTTGGGGCCGAAGCAACAGCATCAAGCCTTTCAAGCAGCCCGAAATTCGTTGGAAAGAAAATGTCTGCCGAGCCCTGTTACAGGCATATGTGCGTCAGTGCAAGGAATGGAGGAAAGGTTTGTTTGGGAGCCATAAAAATGCCTGCCGAGCCTTGCGAGAGGCAAGGAAAAACAAGGGAAAAATGTGCATCGGTGCAAGGGAGAAGGAGGAGTTAAGTGAGCCAGGGACAAACAAGCTGCTAAGAATTCTGAGATTAAAACGGAACACACTGTGAAACGAGGTATTAAGCATAAGTGACTACAACTAGCACAGAGTGTACTGCTCCTTACACGAGGGACGAGGTATGTGGATTGGTCTTGAGTGATGCCTCCACCCTGGCGTTTTCGGCACATGGGGGATGAAGGCATGGGGCCATGGAGGCATGGAAGCATGGGGCCATGGAGGCATGGAGGCATGGGGGCAAGTGAGCAAGAGAGAATGCGGAGCACGGGGATCAATTGGGAACGACAATGAGTGACAACCAGCTCTGGGAACACAGACGAAGGCAACGAGTGAAACGAGCCGCCAAGAGCTGCTGCAGATGGGATGCTATCGCCATTGCAATCACACGGAAAGCACGGTCGCATAGCATGCAAGGCACCGTGCCGCCCCGAACCCATCAATTCTTTAGGCGCCTAAAAAAGCGGTCGCATCGCATTGCATGCAAGGCAAGACACCATGCCGCCCCAAACCCATCGCTCCAAATCACCATTCCCACCATTCCGCTCACAGCCTCACCTTGGCGGCGGGCATTGGCGCCTGGGATTCACACACTGGGGAGCACGGAGAAGTCAGCAGCGACAACCGTGGCGTTGGCGAGTTGGCTCAGTGTTCACACCCCACCACACCGCATCAAACCCCACCGTACCGCCCCAGACCCCAACCATATTGTCCCAAACCCCACCTTGGCAGCAACGAGGGGGGCGTTGGCGCCTGGGATTCGCACATCGGGCAGCACGGGGAAGTCAGCAGCTATGGCGGTGGCTTTAGCGAGTCGGCTCAGAGTCCACACCCGACTGTCCCGCATTAAACCCCACTGTCCCGCCCTTCACTGCCTCACCTTGGCAGCCACGAGGGGGGCGTTGGCGCCTGGGATTCGCACGTCGGGCAGCACAGAGAAGTCAGCAGCGATGACAGTGGCGTTGGGGCGCGCTGTGTATATGGCCTCCAGTAGACGCTGGTGGGGAGAAGAACAGGACGGAAGAGGGGGGAAGAGGTGGGGAAAACGAGAGCAAGGAAAAATCATGGTCGGAACTTTCCCAACTCTTGCACAAGACGCAACGGGTTGACCTTCTGAGTCGACTCAAAAGTCACCACGAGGAAAAGTCATGGTCGATACTTTCCCATCTCTTGCACAAGGCGCAGGGGGGCACTGTGTATTTGGCCTGCAGCAGCCGCTCGAGGGGAGGACGACGAAAGGGGTTAAGGGGAGAGAAGCCGGTGGGGGAAAGGGGGACTAGGTAGTTGGGTGCGGAGTGTGGCAAGAGGATATGATACTACAGCAATGACCGTGGTAATAAAAGTGTTTTGAGACGCCTCAAATCACTTTTATTATCACGGAGGCAGCACAGCACTCACCAGGCATCCCGTGGGCAGCACTCACCAGGCATCCCGTGGGCAGCACTCACCAGGCATCCCGTGGGCAGCCAGATAACCCTCTCCCCGCCCACCACCGACGCCACCAGTCCTTGCAACGATGCGGACAGCCGTGCCAACATGCCGCTGCTGCTGCCGCCGCCGCCGCCGCCGCCGCCGCCGCCACTGCTGGTGGTTTCGGTGCTGCTGGTGCTGCCGCTGCTGCTGCTGCTAGTGGTAGCAGATGCTGGACTCTTGTTCTGCAACGGTAACGAGGGGAAGTATTCGTATGAGATGAGGAGGATTGAAAAGCAAGAGGGTAGTTTTGAGGCACTTACGTTATGTTTCCAGTATTTTCTTATGAGTTCTCATGAAAAGGACACGGCAGGAGGCGCTTTAAATCGATAGTGGCATTTCTATGATTCTCTTGGTCCCCTGAGAGGCAGTCCTAAGGGAGAAAAAAATCGGATCTAGACTTTTGAGCCCATCAGCGATCCCCTCAGCAATCCCCTCAGTGCAGTGCATCTCAGCGGCCATTCGGTGCATCATTCCCAGAGCAATTTCAAGTGAAATTTCGGGGGGAATTTTCGGTGCAAATCACATTTCTAGTACATTTTCTTGGTGAATGTCAGTGCGATTTCTGGTGCGAATTCCAGCCTCACCAACACTGCACCGACGTTTGCAATCCGAACCAGAAATCGCGTCAGCCTTACCAATACTGCAGCAAGGCATCGGCAAATGAGCGGATCGCTGATGGGTTGAAGCACCTCGTACGGCCTCCCTGTGCCCTCCCTTCCCTCTAAATGCCTCCTCCCTGCCTCCTCCACCTGTCCACCATGCCTCTTCCCTGCCCTTTCCTTCTCCTCCGCTTCCCCCTCCCTTCCCGCATGCTTCACTCGTGTTTCCATCCATTCGCTGCTCTCCCTGCTCCACTGCACCCTGTCGTGTGGTAGGTTGTCCAACACCTGAGGGCACCCGGCAGGGGGGAGAGGGCAGGGTGAATGGGCAATGGATTGGAGGTGCATGGGAGGGGCATGGGAGGTGCATGGGAGGGGCATGGGAGGTGCATGGGAGGGGCATGGGAGGTGCATGGGAGGGGCATGGGAGGTGCATGGGAGGGGCATGGGAGGTGCATGGGAGGTGCATGGGAGGTGCATGGGAGGTGCATGGGAGGTGCATGGGCAAATGAGTGAGAAGAGGCAACGAAAATAGTGTTTCTCCACTCGCTGCCCTCCCTGCTCCACTGAACCCTGTCGTGCAGCAGATTGTCCAGCACCTGAGAGCACAGGGAGGAGGAGAGAAAGGGCGGATGCGATATGGATGGGAGGTGCATGGGAGGCAGATGAGGGAGAAGTGACAACAAGCTTCCGAATTCATTGTTCCCAAGCTTCCAAATTCCAAATTCCCAAGCTCTCCTGAGAGTCCGTGTTCATTGTTCCTAGGGGGCGCCTCAAGAGCGGACTTCTGGGATCTCCTGAAAATCCTCAACATGCGTTTCCCTCTCATGCTGTGATTGTGCAGTGCTCTCCGTGTTATCTATCGAGTGATTGGAGGGAGGGAGGCTGCTGCTGCTCACCTCGAATAAGAGAATGAAGCATGGATCGTTGGATGGCGCACCTGCGACACACATGGCGTGATGGTGGCATGATGACGACATGGTGACGTCATGATGAGATGGTGACGTCATGATGGCATGGTGACGTCATGATGGCATGGTGACGTCATGATGGCATGGTGACGTTGTGATGACATGGTGACGTCATGATGACATGGTGACGTCATGATGAGACAAACGATGAATCAGCACGAAGATGATGATGATGATGATGATGATGATGATGATGATGATGATGATGATGATGATGATGATGATGATGATGATGATGATGATGATGATGATGATGATGATGATGATGATGATGATGATGATGATGATGACGATGAGTTGAGTTAACACAGTACAGAACACAAGCGTGCATGACCCACGGATCCGTCAGTCCATCCATCCCCTCCCCACTTCCCTCCTCCCCCACCTTATCCCAAACACACTGCACCGCTTGGTGCGAGCAGTGCCAAACACATGCACCAATGCACCCACCCCACTCACACCCCTCCCTTCCCTGTCTCCCATCTCCTCACCCACCCGTCCCTCACTCCCCCGACACACACCCCCCTCCTCCCGTCCTCCCACTTCAAAATATCCACACAAGCACAGCCACACGCACCCCAGACGCAAGATGGAGGAAAACTTCCCCCATCAGCCGCATCAAACACCAGATGCTTCACCAGGCCACAGAATGCACCGACTCATGTGAGGAGCAATGAGAAGCACCATCCGAACCATCACCAGAAGCATCCCTAGCGGCACCCCTCGCTCCCCATCCTCTTCCCCCATCTTACCACCCCCCCACCCCCCCCCCCCCCACTCACCCCTCACATGCACTCCACTCCACCACTCACCCCAGCCGCACACATCAGCAGCATCAAACACCGCCACGGAGTGCACCAACTCAAGCGAGGGGGAGCGCCGAGCAGCACCATTCAAAGCAGCACCATTCAAAGCAGCACCATTCAAAGCAGCACCATTCAAAGCAGCACCATTCAAAGCAGCACGAGAGGCAGAGCCGTCCCGTGCGCCCTTGGCCCCTCGCCGTGCCCTGCCAACACTTAAGGCGGCGCCATCTTGACTGCCAGAATCTGGGGCGGCTGTGGCAGCGGAAAGAGGAGTGGCAGGCGTGGCAGGTGTGGCAGGTGTGGCAGGTGTGGCTGCTGAGACAGCTGAAGTATGTGTGGCAGTTGAAGCAGTTGAATCACCCGCATTGCCATGCTTCAACGCATAGCCAGTGATTCTCTCTCTTTGCCTTCGGGCGAGAGCTGGGCTGATTTCCACCGAGCTGAGAGAAGGGAGAGGGGAGAGGGGAGAGGGGAGAGGAAAGAAGAGGGGAAAAGAGGAGCTTTGGCAAAACAACCAGCAAGCAAAGGCATACTCACTCGCTCTCTCTCTCACTCACTTACTCACTCACGTGTATTGGCAGCGCCGGTACAGGCGATACAGAAGGCTCCTGCTCAGATTCAGCAGGAGCCTTCGCCTGCAGGCGGTCGAGAATGTTGCGAGCCAACGTGCCTCCGCCCACCTCGTACATCACTCACTCACTCACTCGCTCACTCACTCACTCACTCACTCACTCACTTCCTTCCTCGCTCTATTCCTCACTCGTTTGCTCACTCACTCCCTCACTCACTTTTTCACTCACTCTCTCGCTCTCTCTCTCTCTCTCTCTCTCTCTCTCGAATGGTCCGTTGTATTATTAAGCACTATGCATACAAGCATGTAAGGTTGATGGTGAGGCAATCATCCTACTCGCCACCCGCCTGTTCCACAAGGGGTCCAAGCGGGGGTTCTAGGAGTTGAAACAGGTAACCTTCAGCTAGGGGTTCGATGGCATCCGCTATCCCAGCCTCGTCCGCCTCCATGGCCGTGTGAGTTTTCAGATTGAGGGCGTGCGCCTGCCCGCGCTGCAGAGTGATACTCCAGCGCTGCCTGTACTCGTGGAACAGCTTGGCTGCTTCCGCTGAGGTAGGGGGGGCGTTGAAGCGCAGGTTGGCAGGCAGGTGGGCGCACATCTTGAGGAACTCCAAGACCCCCGGTGAGGTACAGCCGTAGGTCTCGACCGCCATGGGGATCAACCCCACCCAATCATTCCGTATTGCATACTTGTCCGTCTTCTTGTCTGCGGCCACACGGGCAGCCCACCCCGTCCCTTTTCGTGCGTACTTGTCGCATTTTGAGATGGGGTCGGTGACAGTGATGTCACAGATGAGTATACGGCCGGTGATGGGATTGCAGATCGAGAGGTCCGCGAATAGGTTTTCGACCGGCGTATACTGCGCTGTTTCCTTGTGGACTGTGTAACCTGCTTCTTTGGCTATGCGGGCGCATTCATCCCGCAGGGCATGGTGCGTGCTCGTCCGTCCCTTCCCTGTCCCACAGCGCAGCAGGTGGTTTGGCAAGCGGCTGTCCAGGATCTTGACAGCCTTGGTGCAGTCGCATTGGCGCGGGATTGGGTGGGGGAAGGCCCAAGCGGAAGAGGATGGATTGGGAGTAGTGGGCGGGGCAGAGTCGAAGGGCGCTCGTCAGGGGCAGTGCCGCCAGCCAATCGCCGGCTCCTGGTCCGAGGAGGGATAGGAGGCGTTGCGTGTGGCCCATGAGCGGGTTCGGGGACATGCGCCGGCTGCTACGGACGCCGGCGACAGCCTTAGCTGAGTGGACGTGCAGCGCCAGTGCGTGTTGCAGCTTCAGCCCGTCCCCCTTCTCTCTCCCGACCTTCATCACAGCCACTGTTGAGGGGGGAAGACTGGCTTCCGCGGCGGCCAGGCGTTGGGGCAGTGCAGCTGGATTGGTAGGGTCCGCGTCCAGCAGTGGCGTAAGTTCAGCCACCTCCTGGTGCAGCTTGGAGCCAAGGGAGCGCAGGAGGTGGGCTGTTGCGACGGCCGACGCCAGGTAGGCGTAGGAGCCTTCCGTGCTTGGGTCAGTGAGTCCCAAGCCTCCTATGGTGGCGGGGAGGCTGGCCTGGTTCCAGATCCGTTCCTTCTCCGCCTGCGCGCGCGGCTCTGAGATTTGCGCCGCGGCAAGCAGAGTGTGTAGCAGCCGTTCACCCCACGCGGACCATTCAGCTGTGGGCAGGAGGGCCAGAGGGGTGGTGCGGGCGAGGAAGGATGCTCTCCGGCTGATGCAGCGGGTGAGCAGAAGGTAGGAGAGTTGGGGATCCATGCGCCCCACTAGTGGCAGCGGAGAGCTTGCTGTAGCGAGCTTTTCCCGCAGCTGCGTGGCACAGCCGTCGGCTGATCCGACTGGGCTGCCGAGGACCCGCAAACCGGCGCGGTTGAAGCGGATCCCAGTGGGGAGGTCGGCGTCGTTCATGGGGCCAGGTGACCAGGCTGCGCATTTTGCAGGGTTGTGGGCTAGGCCGATGGGGAGGAGGTCGGCCGTGAGGTGGTTGAAGGCGGAGGTGCAGGCGGATGCGGGGCCGAGGAATGTGATATCGTCCGCGTAGGCAATGATGACGACGTTCGGAAACGCAGCGGCGGTGGCGGTAAGTGAGCGTTGAATGCCAGCCGCAAAGAGTAGCGGCCCCATTGGGTCGCCCTGGCGGACTCCACGTGCGCTCGTTGGAGAAGCTGCGTTGAAGCCCGCGTCCACTTGTAGGGTGGAGGCGGAGCCGTATGTGAGTCTAACGAAGGGGAGCAGGGGGGCGAGTGGGGTGGATTGCAGGCCTTCGAAGACGGCCGCTCGTTCTATGGCGTTGAAGGCATTGGCTATGTCCATCTGGAGTGCGATCGCGGTAGGTTTTTCCTCCAGGTATGTGCGGATGATATGGATGGCAGCTTCCGTCCCCCCTGGTACTGCTACACCGAGTTGGAGAGGTGTGAAGAAGTCGCGAGCGGCCGCGCCGGTCAGGTATAGTGCGCATTTCGCGATAAGGCGGGGGAGGCATTCGCCAACTGCTATGGGGCGGATCCCTCCTCCAGGTTTGACGAACGCGATCAGTCGTGAGATTGTGAGTAGCGATGCTGCCTCGGGACACAGCTGGCCCGCGAGAGCTGTGTTGGTGAGTGCGTGGAGGTGTTGGCAGACATCGGGGTTCCCAAGAGCAGCATCACGCAAGTGTTCGAAGGTTGTGCCTGAGGGCCCAGCTCCAACTCCGTTGGGGCATTTGGCGATGATTTTGCGGAAGTCGCGAAGGGGTATGGCTGGTGGGGTGTCAGTGGCGTGGCTGGTAACCCAGTCAGGGATGAGTAGTTCGGCAGGAGGGTGGCGCGCTTGGAGGGCAGTCAGGGTGTCAGGCATGGTGGGGGCCACAGGAGTGGCCTGGAGGGCTTGGAGGGATTTTCTCAAATTCCCACGTTTGGCCAGGCCTTCAGCTCTGGCCAGGCAACCAATCTCGTCGGTAGTGTGTCTGGGTTGGGCTGGGAGCTGAATAGCCTTGGCCGCTTCCTCATATAATTCCTGCCAATTCCCGCGGTCAAATGAGAGGATACAGCTGCTGCAGGCTGGCCAATCTGGGCGTTTGGTGTTGGGAACACGGAGGATTAGGCGCGGGAGGAACAGCAGCAGTCGCCAGGCAGGTTCGGAGTCAGGGTTGGAGGCGAGGGCAAGGAGGGGGGTCAGGAGGCATTTCGCAAAGGCATCGCGAATTGCTTTGGGAGGGTGCCTAGCCAGGCTAGGTTGGCGGCTATCACTCAGGTTGGAAAGGTCCCAGGTGGAAACCTGGGCGAAAAGGTCCCTGCGCTTCGCCAGGTCTGCTGGCGAAAAGGTTGGTTGGCTCGGTGGCGGGGGAATTCCAGATCCGGCTCGAATGTTGGTAGCTTGGCGTCTCGCAGATCTGGGCGCCAGCTCTTCCAGGCTCTCATCCTCGGACGAGGACTCCAAGTTCCCCGCCCCATCGAGTGTAAAAAGGGGGTCACCCTGATCATTTTTGTCATTCGCAGTCGTCGTGTTGTCTCCCTCCTCAGCTTATCTTAGCAGCCCCCGCGTTACACGCCTGAAGTCTGTGGTACCCCCTCCGCCTCGCGAAGTAGCGCTCGCGTCGCCCTCTCCTCGGCTGCGGCGGCCTCGTCCGCGGCCTCCGCGCCTGTGCGTCGTCACGCTTCGCCCTCTCACCGGCACTGACGCCGGACGCCGCTCTGGAGCGTTCGGATCGGGGCGCAACGTGGAGCGCGCCGGCGGAGTCCACCATTGACGACCCGCTCCCGCGCGTGGCAATGGCGGGCTCGCGAACCCGCGGGCGGGAGCGCTCGCCGTTGCGTCCTCAAGGGGTGCGGCGCAGCCCGCCGTCGCGTCTTCAGTCGCCGTCTCCAGCGCTCTGGCCTGATGTCACACAGGGCTCACGCTCCCAAGCGTCGTCTCCGTGGGGGGGATCTCTGCGTCGGCGCGAGTCCCCTCGTCAGGCCTCTCCGCGCCGTGCGTCGCCTCGTCGCCCGTCTCCGCCGCCACGAAACCAGGGTGGCGGCAGCGGCCAGTCGCATTCCCGTCGTGCCCCCCGCCGATGGCGTGCCCATCAGCCTGCTCCGGCTGTGGCTGCGGCGACTGCAGCCGCAACTGCGGCGACTGCAGCCGCGACTGCGGCAGTGACCGCCGCTGTGGAGCGCGCACTCGATGGGCTGGATGAAAGGGTGCGCTCGTTGTCGCGTCCAGATGCTCCCGTCGTGCCGTCCGTGAGCCAGCTACCTCCCCCACTCGACTTGGCGCCTCATCCTCCAGCCGTTGTACCTCCTCTTCCTCTTCCTGCCCCACCTCCGATACTCCCCCCGCAGCAGCAGCTCCGCCCTCAGCAGCCCCTTCATCAGCAGCTTCCTCCTCAGCAGCTTCCTCCGCACGCTCGCCCGGATCCGCAATCATTGGCAGGACAGCCCGACGTGGCACCGCTTCCTCTGCGCCTCCCACCGAGGGTGTGGTGTGTGCCTGCGGGGGGTGGGCCCCCTGTGTATCAGACGTTTGCGGAGGCAGGGGATGGTCGCCGTGTTGAGCTCCCCCTGTACGGAATGCCTCCGCCTCCTCCCATGCTTCGCCAGCAACCTCAAGCAGCGCAGACAGGTGGTCCTCTGGGCTCTCAAGTGCTGGAGGCGGGAGCAGCAGCGGGGATGGTGGCGGGGGTTGAATCCCCCCCTGCCTCTCCCACTCGGCGATCTGCAGCCCGTCGGCACTCTGGGATTCGGGTTGCTCCTCGCGTGGCTGTGGGAGGGCTGTCCCGCCGGCGTGCTGACGTTCACCGCGTGCTTGAGGTGGAGGCTCATGTGCTCGCTCGTCTGGGCCACGAGCGGTCGTTTGTGGCCTTCGTTGGTCTGATGATCGACAATGCTGCTGCTGCTCTAGAGGATGTTCCCGAGGAGTTGA